TCCTAGCTGACGGGAGAAATTTTTAGCTGCTATTCCGAGTACATTCTCGGATTTGCGCAAACTCAAAGGCACTTACATCCGTAGCATGCCCGTTCCTGTTCTATTCAGTCCCTTCCAGAAACTAGGTCCGAGAAGCATTCAGGCCGAGCAAGATTAGCTCACTTTACAAAAGTAAAGCTATAAGTAGAAGGTTAGTAGATTTCGTAGAACACAGATCGTACCGCCTCACACAACGATGTCGTAACATGATGGGGGTAGCTCCGATGAATGAGCGCGCCGCAAGGGTATGTGCGCACTAAGCGTCCCAATACCAGCAGACAGTCCGGAATAAACGCATTATTATCAATTATGAACTGGCACAAGTTGATCGGGTGCCTCTCAAGCATGAGGGTGAACATCGAATCGAATCCGGAGATATGTCACGGATGTGTGTTGCCTCCAAGAGAGTTCAAGGAACCACAACACTGATATATGGTCGCATCTATATCAAAGTCAGCAAACTGTCAGCTGCCTATAGTTTGCCCTGATGAGAGAGTTTTTCAGCAGCTGAATTCTGATCGGCACCGGAATGCAAACACGCAGTTGGTCTGGGCTAAAGGCATCATCTATGAGCGCTTCTGGACAACGCATAACGACACGAAGGAGATTTTGTGTGGTAAAATAAATGGAAAAGATATCCTGCCTCGAGTGGCGGGAGAACTCGCGAAATTGTACGTCGAAGTTGGGATGAAGGAGCTGCCAGTGGTGACGGAGTTTGAATCCCACTCGTGGAAATGCCGGCACTCGAAAAGGAAGGAGGGTCGGCGATCGCCCCGGTTATGTACCAGAAATCAGCAAGACAGTGGTCAAGTAGCTTGCCTAGGAATCTAGGTACAACATCCGCATATCAATTAGGAAAATTTGCCAGGTCCCATCATACAAATTAGTGTCTGTCGTAGATTCATTTAACTGTCATTTGCATTCGGGGGCCAACTCAAAAGGCAAGCTAGCATATTCAGAAGACATGCAGTAGATGGATCATAGCAACAAGCATTAAAGCCAGACTTAATGTGCAAGTGGTTCGGAACAGATCAAACGACAATGATGGATCTAGAAAAATCAGATGGCAGCGGGTACAGATTCGGTCTAGGTGCCGGTCAGGCAAGAGGTCTCTGAGCGCTCGGACTATCCAGACAGAAAGAATACTCAGATGAATAGAAATATAAAGTTCAGGATGGCGGAGATGTCCCTGCATTTCCTTGCCCCCACCTCTTCGTCGGCGGTTAAGCTTGAAAGCTACTTGGAGCCAAGGACTCAGGCCAGGTACGAGCCATGCCGCACACAGTAGAAGAAAACATCGAGTGAAATACCTTTAGCTTTCAAGCCGGGTCTTGGGAAAAATAAGGAACCGGAGAAAAATAAGCACACGGTACTGACATCTTGAAGAAGAAGAAGGTCGAGAACTAGAAAGAATCAATCAGATAAAGGCACCAATCACTCCGGAATTAGTCACGGATCGAAATGTGTGTATCAAGAATGAATGTTAGCAGCCAGAAGAATTCAGTAGACTTATGAACGAAAATAAAAATTCTCTTCACCTCAGATGTGCTTTGCTGACGCTAAAGGTTTTGAACAGTCTCCTCTAAGCAGACGGAAATTAGAAGACGATCGTTTCAATTTATAAGCCAAAGCAGGCTATCGTTGCCCCAAGAGCACACGATTCATGTGCCTAAGTAGAAATCAAGAAGCTGTTCAAGCTCGGCCTCAAAGTCGTTGAAGATAATAATACACCCGAATTCGGTTTACTACTCCGTATACGTAGTGTGTATGAATCGCTGACTCGAATACTGGGGGCTTAGAGAAGACTGACATGGCACCAATCGCTTTACCCGAAGCAAGTGAGCTCCTAACCACAAGAAAAGAATAGATACCCTCAAGGCACCCAGTAAAGACGCTTTCGAAGCTTCCAACAGGCACTCTGAAGGAACTCTGATATCATGATCACCTCCATCTATACTTAGCTACTTCTTATCTCAATGACGTCCAAGTCTTGATGCAAGTCATCCAATGGCTCTAATACTCGTGAACGAACTGTGTATTGCTAGTTACGCAGTCAACCTAAAATTGTCTTCCATTCAACGTACGCAATGCAAGAATAGTACTAGGGCTCTATTTCGAATCACAAGACATAGAGTGGGGGCACGGCATAAAACGACGGCAAGCTAGGAAAACTATTGACCCGGAAGAAAGATACAGCTAAAATTCGCGAACAGAAGCGGCAAATTCGAGTGCTGACGCGTTGACATTCGCTCAGGTACTGGAACTTCTGCAAACCACACCTTTGGACGGTGTTCTATGCCCGTAGTGGGCCCGAATAGCTGCCTAGGACGTTAAAATTCTGACTCGTGAAAGATGAACAATCCAGCGTTTTCATGTCCGAACGGGATGCCATTCGATTTGTCAAATCAATTCCGTTACTTTCGCTTCCCGGACCGCGTTAAATTTATTTCTTTGGGAGCCGCATAGGTATTTGTGCGGGATACAAGGAACAAAGGACGTACGCATTTACGCAGACTTGTCAAGGTCCCAGGCAAACCTGGACTGCGTACTGTCGGTGGGGAAATAAGGTGATTAGATCTCCAAAGAAGTTAGTGTCTCTAACCACGGAATCCATGAGTTTTCTAGAAACTAGTGAAAGGTGCTTTGATATTGCAGACTGTGGAATTTGGGCGGTGGCGTAAAAATATCAATCATATACCGCTGTCTAGCCCGTCAGTCGTAAGCATCACTTGCGAACAAGTCTACCTTGAACCTGAGCGGGAATCGCTTGTTGAAAGTACAATGCAAAGGCGTTTCTTTGTCTCGGAAGCGCAAGTACATTAAGCAGTCCAAATCATTTTAGATCAATGAAAAAAACAAGTATTCAAGACCATGCAAGGTGCCAAACCAAAGCCGTGATTTTGAATTATGTAGGGCAATCGTAATACAAGCACTGCATGGGTAAAGTCGGAATCGGGGGAAGTTTACACATAATTAACGTACTTTTCCTTAGATTTCATACTTGGCATATTCCAAGAAATTCCGGACTGACGCCCGTTCAGAAACCTGAACTTCGAGAGACATTTTCAAGTGGTCTAATCATCAGATACTGGTAGCCAACAAGAACCTTGACTTTTTTTGGAAAATCCCCTGTCCGGCTCCCGAGTGTAAGTGGCGAGAATCAAGGAGGAGGTATTCATAGCATGCCCACCGAGGCACAAAAGACGCGATTTATTCATACCTAGCGTAAACTCGTTGAGGCACAAATGCGCAGGTGAGTGAGATTCAGAGCGAACGTCGGCGTATTGATCTATATGTTCAATACTCATGTACGCTCAGGCACGTCTGATCGCAAATATGATGCTGAATTCAGAGTTCAAGGTGGTATAGCGGTAAATCAGGCGCTCCGAATGTCACGGTCGGGACACCGATAGTACCCTATCGTGGACAGACTCGGAATAACTTGGGGAGAGTCTGTTAACTTGTAGATTTATTTATATTGAATACCCACGTCGACACTCAAGCTCAAGTGCAAATGCAGTTGGCAGCGGCAGCACTGTCGTTGATACATACGACGGAGAACGGAAAGATATTCGGCGATTAGGCGGGAGCGCCGCTTGATCGTGAGCCAGGGTTGAAAGAATTGATCCTTCAAACCTTAAGAATGATAATTGATCGACGACGACGTCAAGTATGATGCGTGTATGGGCAGCATAGCATGCTTACCCGTATTTCATTTCGAAAAGTGGCTGAAAGAAGTATGCAAGGGGAGTATACTGCAGTATGTACGTGTATCAGTCTAATTTCCGTTCATAATCGGAAGATACTGTTTGATATCTGGTACAACGTTAACCTGAGCTCTGACATTTCAAGCCAGTTCGTGTTCGACTGTAATGGTGCATACCCTCAGCTACATTTATTCGTTCGGAATTCGAACTCAAATACCATACAGATTCGGCAGCAGCTGTGGGTCTACTGTTTGACACAATGCCAATGTCAGCTTCTGCGCCCGACTTTCCCCCGAGTGCTTATTCCGATATGTTCCTTGTAGAATATCTCGCCATTCCTCGTCAACTCGACAACTCCCCGCGCCTCAAATCGGAATCACACTCATGTATATGACTTACAACAGACTGATGGTTGAACTATTGATTCAATTCTGCAGTGTAGATCCAGTGCAGCCAACCCGATTTCGACTTGGCCCCGACCTTGAAAGAACTAGCGCTCACAGCTGAAGGGTAAAAGGCCGTGAATCGAGACTTACATACCTATAACGTGGAAACAGAAGTAGTATATCTTGAAATTCTGTATCCAGAAGTATCCAATACAACAACTTTGGCTTGACCTAGACTCGACTTGGGCTTCTGGATATGTTCTATAGTATTAAGAAGGAATCGAGACTAGGACCGAGACTACTAGTATTGCTGTTCTCAACAGTACTCATGTTGTATAGTCTTCTCGAATCATCCGGCCCAAAACTTTTGTATATTCCCTCGGGCTGACGATCAATGACCGAGCCAGTAAACCCTACGCAAAAACAGCTCAAGGAATTTAGTGCTAATAGGTCGAGTAAAAAAACAACACTTGGATCATCTTCCCTGGTCAAGTCAGCTCGGACAAAGTGAAGCAAGTTCACTCCGAAGTAATGCCATCCTGTTTTTATTATGGACTTCCTCGCGTCTCGAGTGGTACATATCAACATCTAGAATGGAAGTCGAAGTGTCATTATCGGTGCCCGAGAGAACCAGATCGAATGTCGAGACATATATTGTTGGTGAACTTGTACAAATTGAACAACTTGGTTTCAGTTGTATCTGCCAACTGACAATGTCACAATAGTGTTGATTGTTGATAAGTCGGGGAAATGATCATTGTCTGCTGGTAGCTGTGTAGGTAAAAATAGATGGATGGCATTCAACGTCAGTTGGTTTTTGTGCCTTGGGTGTAAAAATATGTTCAAACGCACACACTGTCATGGACAGCTCCCTGGCTGGGAGTCGAACCCAGCTTTCGCGCGTCAGTCTAGCCACCACAGGGTCATGACAGGCGCGTGTACTAACCGATATACTACCAGGGAGTGATACTAAGAAGTACTTCTGAGCCTTACGTTGCGTTTACCTCGATAGTACAGGGACATTAGTGAGAAATATTATCCCAAAAATCCACCAACTCAAGAGTCGACCAGGTTAACATATCAGACGACTACTACATATGTACATATGTAATGCATGCTGTTCACCGAGATAAGAATATTCATCATATCCTCAACTTGAAGCTCCAACGACTAATTTATCAAAGACACTAAGAACTATTCTGTGTTCGCGACGCGCCGCCTGCCACATACTGATCGTCGGTCAACCTTCCCCATTTTGGCAAGTCCGAACCCATTAATGAAAAATCGAATCCTCTAAAATTTAAAGTAGTAAAATTGCAGGTGATGGGTTTGCCTGCCTTACCTACCTGCCACTGTCCCCTTCCTCTTGTCATACAGTTGAGGCGCTGAGCAGTAATAGATGCCATTGAATGTCAGTTGGTTTTCGTGTTAGGGCCTAAAAAAAGGGTTCCTTCTTCATAACTCCCTGGCTGGGAGTCGAACCCAGCTTTCGCGCGTAACAGCTTGGCTAGATATGGACATGACAGGCGCGTGTACTAACCGATATACTACCAGGGACTGATTAACTGCATTTTTTTAAGTCTTACATAGCGTTCACCTTGATGGCAAACAGGTGTCCTTGACTTAGTAACAGTTTGCAGCTTGTACTACTTACGAAGTTGATACTCATAATGATGATACCGCCTCTGAGTCGGTCAGCACCCCCCAAAATTAAACATTCCAAAAAGTCGGTCAAGTTAACTGCTACGTACACTTCAGGCATTGGCGGTTATTTGAAGAGATATTTCTCAAAGAAAAAAATCAAGATTTTTTGTACAAGCATTTTTGGTCCCAAAAATCCCCGAGACAAAGGCAAAATCAGTATTTCAAGTTGGAACAGCAGAAACCAAAAAAAACTGTGATTTAAGTTTACCCAGAAACGATTCGCAGATACTCGTCACCGCCCGAAGTGTATATGTACATATGCAAGCAAATGCATGTTGTCCAGTGCACCGAGATAAGAATATTCATCACATCATCGTCAAGCTCCAACGACTAATTTATCAAAGAAGTAAGTACAGAACTTTGCGACGCGCCGCCTGCCACATGTTGATCGTCGGTCAATCTTCCCCATTTGGCAAGTCCGAACCCGTTTAATGAAAAATCAAACCCTCTAAAAGTATAAATTTACAGTTAAAAATTGTAGTATTTTTGCCGTGGTGGGTTTGCCTGCCTTGTTGCCTGCCTGCCGCTGTCCCCGTCCTCTCGTTATCCTGAGGCGCTGTACAGTACTAACATAATGATAATGATAATGCGAGTAATATTCTATGTTGTGACCGAGCTGAGGTCTTATCTCACTATGAATGAGAGAAACCTGAACCTTATATATAATATAAAATCAGTGTCGAGTAAGTAACAAGAGAAAGTTGGCCACGGGCAAAACCATGTACATACTTGTCGTACACCTTTTCGTAGAGTTTGAACTTTGTACTGGCACATTGAATTTTTTGCATCAAAAAAACAAAGTTCAATCAATGGTTTCGCAAGTATCGTTGCGGCATCAATAAATAGATCAATGTACCAGTCGCACAAGAGTGGAAAGTTGAGACCAGGACGAAGGAAGATCAACGTTTTCGTCGGCTGGCTAAGAATACATCATGATATGTTATGATGGGAACTTGAAAGCGACGGGTGGAATGAGTCTAGAACACAGGTCACCAGATGCGAAAGAAAATTTGGAGCTTTTGTTTCAAGGTCGTGTATTTTAGATTGAACTACTTGGACATTTAGAGGTCTTATCTCGAGTAAAACCACAACGACCTGAAAACGAGATAACGACCTGCGGCACAGCTATTGTGTCGCAATAGCGGGATGTCGTTAAGGACCGGAGGCTTGCTTTCCTTTTCGCCTTGAAGACTATTGAGAACCCGTGTATGTATATGGAGACTGCGCGAGACACGATCGCGGTAACCACTTGGCCGCCAGGCAAGCTGCTCCGCAAACCGACTTGCTGAATTGTAACGTAGATCCGTAGTTTAGGCAACGCTTGCATTCTGAAAACTGAAAAAGTACCGTATCATACCCAGGCAGTGACGAGGACGTCCAAAGCCCAAGCCTGGAACTAGATAGAAGACCGCCGCCGGCAGGTGCGGAGAGTAGAATTATTGGAAAGTTTGAAAAGCTTAGTTAGGCGATTTTGACATTGCGAGAGACGAGACAATGATGGATGCTGGCCAATAGATATGCTAGGATATCGACGTCAGACCATACGCAAAAGTTGAAGCACCGAGTGAATTGCAAGTTCCAGGCTTTTTCTTTCATGTTGCTCAAGGACTTTTGTTACGGGACGAGAACCGAAATGTAGAACAGGCGCAGGTAGACTCGTCCTTGAAGACCGCGATTCCAAGACATTAATAGAAGACCGAAGCATTCATCAACAGTGGAGAAGAAGCACGTTCTGGGCCGCAGATTCCGAGAGGCAGGTGAACGACTTCTAGTGAGTCGACATTGCGGTTAGACGGAGAGGGAGTAGAATGGGCGGTCCGATGAGCTCGAAGTTGGAGGTGTTAGAGACTGCTGTGACAAGGGCTGCGCGGCACAACGATAAACATCGATCCTGCTCCTACGGTGGCATAGAGGAATCCTGGAGGGAGGTGGTCGAGTTCTCGCAGCTGGGCGAGAGCATACTGTTGAAGTGGACGTTACCAGAAGGGCGCACGAGAAGGTGAGTAGTTCTGTATTTCGGTTTAAACTCGCCTGATGGATATCCTCAAGGGTGGGTTTCAGCAAAGCAAAGCAAAGAGACCTTCCATTTGCGTACCACGACATCGAGTCACTGGAGACCGCGAGCTGATAACGAGGTAAGGTATAAAGCGAGAAAATAAAACTCGTACCACAATCCAGAGCTAGTTAGTGCCACTTGATCCGTAGCAAGTCCGAGTATACAACGAGACCCGAGTCGACAGCATAAAGCTTTAGGTAGAGGGAGAGACAAAGCCAAGGGAGACAGAGACTTGTGATCATGATGACTGGCAAGATCCCAGTGGGCGCATGGGAGAAAATCGGAGAAAAATTATAAAAATCATAATATCTGTCGCACGGAGACCAACTTCGAACTCAGCGAAACTGGAGTGATCTCACGACGTAGTGGACCCAGGAAGTTGGCCTGCGTTTGCGAATGCTTTTGGGGAGGCTACTGGGGCTCAAAAAATGGTCTGAAAAATAATGCTAGTGGCCCGAGAGAAGCTCATATTTAGTAGGAAAAACAGAACGGAAAAACGGCGAGCCACCCGAATGTTTGGATCAAAGACTAGTAAGGCTACTTAAAGGAGAATGACCGCGGCCAGAGCTGAAATTCAGACCCAGATAGTTGTAGCGGAGATTGATATTACTTAAGCGAAAGGAGCAAACTCTATATAAGAGAAATGAAAGTATGAATGAAGAAGCAGATCTGGACCGTTCCCTGCCATGCATTCGAGGCAGCAGGGGCAGAAAGTGAAAAAGCACAAGTTTTGGAGGTTGTGTGGCCGAGGAAAAGCTTAATAAAACGGGGGCACGAGGCCAAAATGTGGCGCGGGACGAAAATTGATTGAGGTTCCGCCTGAAACCCGTCTGTCCCTTCTCTCCAACTCCGCGCAAAACGAACGGTACGCTAACTTTATTCTTGATTCAAACTTTATTATTGGGTGCTGACTGATCCCTCCTGTCGTTTCCCCTCCATTACATTCTGTTCTACGTTTTCAATCTATTTTTTCTGTGCGTTTCCTCGCTGTTGCGCACGATGCAGCCCCCCGAAACCCCGTCTCTGTCCATACTCATCGACCATGTCCAGTCAAGCAGCTCCGGGTGGGTGGACAGAACCACCGTGGTCGGGGTGGATAGAGACAACTGGCGACGCGCTGCTCATCTTGGAAGCTGCCCGTCGAGGTCTCATACCCCGGGTAACTCGCCGGCTCGTCGACAATGAGCGCAAAATGATCACTTCCGGCTCCGTTTTCGTCTTTGACGAGAAGGAAAGCGGTATTAAGCGATGGACAGACGGCTTCTTCTGGAGCCCCAGTAGAATTCTGGGCAATTTTTTGCTTTATCGTGAGACAGATAAGCGCGGTACAGGCCATCGCGCGCGCGCTGACGGCGACGATGTTCCAATTAGCCCGCCCGAGCATCCAGTTGGCGGTTCCAGTCTCAGCCGGCCCAGATCAGAGAGCAACGGGCTGGGTATTGACAAGATGCGGGAGAGGTCGTTGATGGGCAGTCTTACTAACAGTTACAAGTTTAAAAGTGATGGGCTTATGAAAAAGGTGCGGTGCAATCCATTTTTTCTGTAGTACCGGTCAACTCACCCCGAACATGTATTCAGACTTTTTCGCTGGTTATCGATGGTGTTGCCCAACATCTTATTTCCTACTACCGGATCGAGGACGTGGAGAGCGGGCGTCTACGTTCTCCTTCATCTCTTCCCGAACTGGCTTCCCTGGATATCAGTCCAGAGCTTCTCGACAAGACCCACTTTCGTAACCCTCCCAAAGTTGAAGTTGGTCCCGACGGAATTCCTCGGTATCGTGGCGAAGCAGATGAAATCGATTCTCCCCCTACGATGCTTACTGGCCCCCTTTCCACTGGGCTACCTCTTCTGTCGGATGGTCGTTACGCTACCGACAAGCACGCGTCCAAACGCTTTGATCCATATGGTGTACCGGCTCCCAACAAACGACCCAGGAAAGGAAAGGGACCCGAAGATGCAACTGCATCCGCGTCGACTTCTCAAGTACCACAAGCATACGACCCCAACCTTCAGATGATGCAGTCGATGCCACCACACGCCCATCCTTACCCAGGTTATGGAAATGTGTACTATCCTTATCACTATGGTGCTCCCTACATGCATCCAAGTGGATCACCAGTGCCTGGTGTACCACCGTCGACCCAGTCGACTCCTTCTCCACCTGTTCCTTCGTCGTCTGCGTCTACGACACCTACTCCGGGGACCACAGGTGCCATGCAAGGCGTCACAGCATCAAGCCCGACAAGCACAGCGTCGCCAACTTCCCCTACTCAAACTCAGCCAGCGACTGCAGGGAGTACGCAACAACCAGCGGCAGTAGCGCCGACTCCAGTACCATATCCATATCCGTATCCACCACATTACTACCACCACCCCGCTGCCATGGGTGCTATGCAGGCTACCGGTGCTCCAAGTCCATCTGCACCGAACTCTTCTCTTGCAGACCCCAACGCAACTGCTACTGGAGCCAACGCGTCTCAGATCCAACAAGTCCAGCCCGGCCAAATGCAACCTCATCCGCATCACCCGCCAGCTTATTATCCATACTATCCCCCAGGAATGTATCAGGCTCCTCCTGGATGGCCATACGGATACATGCATGGGCAACCTCAACAGATGCAAATGCATCCCCATATGCAGCAAGGCCAGGTACCACAGGTCCCAGTTCCAGCTCAGGCGACTCAGGCCCAGACTCCAATTTCGCCGACGGCTGCTACTGCCGAGAGTGGAAATGCCAGTGGCAGTGGTGAAGAGTCTGCTGGGTCTGCGGAGGCCTGAGAGCTTCCGGAATGTG